AAAATTTTATATTATAATAACCACACACACAAAAAAAAAAAAACACAAAAATAAATTTTTTTACATTATATATAAAGTAAAAGACTTGGTATATAATAAAATAATAGCCCAAATCATAATTATATTAATTGTATAATCTAAAGATTTTGGTAAACAGCTTTTGTTACTTCTTCTTATAAATTATCAAATTGTTAATATTTATTTTTTATTTTAATAATAATAATAATAATAATAATAATAATAATAATAATAATAATAATAATAATATTCACACACTTTACATAGATATAATAATAATCATAATAATCATAAATATTAACAAGTAGTATTACTAGTAATAATAGTTATAATAATTATAATAATCCATTTACTTTTTTTAAAGACACATTCTCACATTTATTTTTTTTTTATTTTTTTTATTTATTTAATTTTAATTTTAATTTTAATTTTTTTATATAGAATCAATACAAGTAATAATAGTATAAATTAAAAATAGAGAAGCAAAAAAAAATATATTTTATAATTTGATTCACGTTTTAAAGTTTTTAATTCCCTTCCTATTTTCTTTTTTTTTAGTTTTAATTTCCTATAGTTAAAATTTTTTTATTTTTTAATTTTATTTATGGAATATTTTGATTAAGTTGTTAAAATGATGAATAATAATTTCAATCAAAATAACAATTTCAATTTTCAAAACACAAACAATAATATTAATAATAGCAACAGTAGTAATAATAACATGAATAACATTAATAACACCAACAACAATGGCAATGGAAAGAATAATTTAAATAGTAATAATAGCTATCAAAATAATTTCAACTATCAAATAAATTTTAATAGTGGTAATAATAATAATAATAATAATAATAATAATAATTATACTCATAATCATAATTTTAATAACATTGGAAATATAAATACAAATAATAGTAATAACAATAGTGGAAATAACAGCACCTTGCCAAATTATGACAATGCAGATCAAGATGCTCTTACAAATTTAATAGTTAATAATATTCCTAGATCTATGGATTCAAGCGAATTAAAAAACTATTTTGAAAAATTTGGAGCCATAGAAACCTGCAAAGTTGTTTATAATCGTAAAAAAGACCAAGGTATTTCGAATAATAATAACATAAATAACAATATAAACAATAATTTAAATAATAGTAGCCTTGGATATGGATTCGTTAAATTCACAAAAAGAGAGGACGCCTTTATCGCAGTCGAACAAATGAATGGTTTTGAGATCGATTCAAGACCAATCAAAGTATCCTATGCACAAGCCTCCAGTTTGCAATCTAATCACGCAAATTTATATGTTAATCGATTAGAACCTCACGTTACCAATGCCAATCTCAAAGAGATTTTCAGTAACTTTGGTGAAGTTATCGACACTAAAATTTTGATTGATCCAGATACAGGGGCTAGTAGATGCGTTGGTTTTGTTCATTTCTCTCAAAGAAGAGAGGCTTTAAAGGCTCTATCTTTAATGAATGGTGCTACCATTCCATACCAATCCAATCCAATTTACGTCAAAGTAAGTTTCTTCAAATAGTTTTTATTTCATTGTTTTGTTTTATTTTATTTTGTTTTTTTACTTGTGTTTTATTATTTGTGTTTTTATTTTTTAAAAAATAAAAAAATAAAAACAATTGAACAGTTTTAATTTTTTTATAGTTTTTATTGTGTTATTTTTATCCCATCCTTTTTTTATTTTGTTTATTATTTGTTTATTTTTTTTTATTGAGAAAAGTTTTGTTTTATATTTTTAATTTTTTTTATAAATAAAAAATAAAATAAATTTTATATTTTATTTTTTATAAATAAATAAAAAAAATAAAAATAAAAAAAGTTTTAATTTCTTGAATTAACATTAATTTTTTTTTTTTTATAATTTTTAATTTTACAATCGGGTTTTAATTTATGATCATGTTTCAACTTTTTTTTTTTTCCTTTTTTTAATTTTTAAATTAGTTTGCAAACCAAATGAGTAATGATCATTTGAATCTTCCTCATTTCACCAACACCAACACCAACACCAACACCAACAGCAACAGCAACACCAACAGCAATAATAATACCAATGGTAGCAATATTAACAATGTTTTCAACTTTAGCAGTTTTGGTAATTTTAATGAATAACTAATATAAATAGCAACTTTAGCAATACCTTTGGTTTTGATGGTTCTAATAACTGCAGTACTTATATAATAATAATAACAACACCAATACAAATAATAATACCAATTTCAACTATGATAATAATAATAACAGATGTGGTGACAGGTATGGAAGTGATAATAACATTTACAGAAACAACAATAACTCTTTTGGACAACAACCACAACAACCACAACCACAACAAAACCAAAATCAAAATCAAAACCAAAACCAAAACCAAAACCAAAACCAAAATCAAAATCAAAATCAAAACCAAAATCAAAATCAAAATCAAAATCAAAATCAAAATCAAAATCAAAATCAAAATCAAAATCAAAATCAAAACCAAAACCAAAATCAAAATCAAAACCAAAATCAACAACCACAATCACAACAGCAACAGCAAAAGAATCAACAATTCAACGCAAACTTTTTCAATGGAAACTCAAGTGGTATGAATAACAATGGTGGCAACTTACTTATAAGTAATAATAATGGTCTCACAGTTTACCCAATTCATATTTCAAATTTACCAAGTAATACAGATGAGGGTTTTCTTTATAAATTATTTGCATATGGTCCAATTTCAGGAGTTCAACTTTTAAGCAGTGGTCAAAGCAATCATTACCTAATTTTAGACTATAATTCCGTTTCAAAGTGCAAATTAACAATCTTAATGGAAAGCTTATTTCGGGTAGAACATTAAAAGTACTTTGCCTTACACACTCTTCTCCTTATTATATCCAAAGCTACAATGGAGGTACGCCCTCTCCAGGCAGTAATACTAATACTAATACTAATTCTAATACAAATCCAAATAATAATAGTAATAACATTAACCTTAATATTAATAATAATAACAATAATAACGGCAACAACAGTTACACCCGTAACAATAATAATAACAATATGAATAACAATTGGTAATCGATCCAATTTTTTCAAATCCACAACTTCCATATTTAATCAAAATATATATACAGCTATCAAAAAAAAAAAAAAAAAAAAATCTCAATTTTAATTTATTGATTATTAATTTCCATCTCTACTATTATCATTTTGGGTATTCATTTTTTTTATCAAGAATCAATTAAAATAAAGGAAAAAGTGCAAAATAGAAAATATTAATAATTGGATTCATGGTTTTTTCTTTTTTTTTTCTTTTTTTTTTTCTTTATTGGAAATTTGGGTTTTTTTTAAAAAAAAAAAAAGGGTGAGACTTGGATTTAATTTTTATATGGTACAATTAAAATTTCCTTTTTTTTTTTTATTCACAGAACAAGACTAGTTTATTTTTTTTTTTTTTAAAAAAAACAAAACACATTTCCGATTTTAAAGCTCCAAAAAAGTTAGTTAGTTTAAATTTCAAATAATCTTTAGTAGTCCTGGTAATAAGTGGTATCAATAATATGAATAACATGAAAAACTTGCCATGTCGAAGATTAATTAATTCAATCAATTATACATATTTAATTTTTTTTTAAATTTCTTTTTTTATTTTTTTTATTTTTTTTTTTTTAAATGATTTTTTTATTTTAAGGTTTTTTAATAAAAATAATAGTTTAATCAAAACCTATATCAAAATGTGTACATACATCAGTTATTTTAGTAAGTTTGGGTCAATCTTTAAATTTCTTTTAAAAGAAATTTTTTTTTTTTTTTTTCACCCAAAAAATTTTTTATATTTTTTTATTTTTTTTTTTATTATTATTATCATTAAAACT